AAAAGGAAATTGTTTCAAAGCGTTGCCTAAATCGAGGGCGGACTACAATGACCACTGAATGCATCATTCTTAAATGTTTAAAACATAATCAACCCTTTAACCCCTAAAAGTGGCCAGCATCTAATTTCTCTTTATAGTATCACCCATAAATAAGACATTAAGATTATGAGAATATTGAAAATGATCAAAAAGCACAGGAGCTCTTGATTGTTAAGCAAAATCTCCTTGTTAGCGCCTTAGGAAATGTATAAAAAACAGTATGGAGAATATGCATACTGATGTTAAGGTGTAAATGGTTAATGAAATGAATCAGCTTAAATCCAAAAAAACGTAAGCGAGAAATTGCTTCAAAGCGTTGCCTTAATCGAAGGCGGACTACAATGAACACTGAATACATCACTCACATGTTTCAAACATAATTAAGAAACAGATCAGCTTAAATCCACGCGTCAATTTTTGACCTGACAACGTAAGCGAGAAATCAGTAATGTGCGAAAACATGTAGACAATCAAAACGAAAAAGAAATCTAATCGGCCATGATCTTCTACAAAAAAAGACTGACTGCGTGATGATACCCCAGTTTCTAAATATATTTAGCTTCAGTTCACAAGGTCAATCAGTTACATCCTGTTTTTCTCGGAATTTCAAACAATAGCTTTTTCAGAGTGCGTTTACAAGCAATCATCTCGTATGTTTACAATGGAGTCCTTCATGAGAAACCTCACGAAACAAGTTACTTGCTCAATTTGTCTCGAAACCTTCAAAGAACCAAAAATTATATCGTGTTTTCACACGTTCTGCTGTGAGTGTTTGGAAAAACACGCAAGAGTGAGCCAAAGACATGGAAAATTCCGATGCCCCGAGTGTCAGGCAGAACTCCACTTACCAGAAGGAAGTCGCTTCGAAGCGTTGCCAACCAGTTTTTTTCACAACAGTTTGTTGAATATCCTTGCCGTTCGACAAAGTGGCGATGGAACAAACATCACTTGTGGCAACTGTAAGAGGACCAGCTCCAATGTCCATTACTGCTTCGACTGTGCTCGATTTATGTGCTCCGAATGTCTGAACGCACACGAAATTATGCGCGACGCATTCGAAGGACACAAAGTCATGCCTGTTACAGACTTCCAAGATCAAGATTACGAGGCTTTGTTAAAGCGACAGCCCTTTTGCACCAAGAAGTACCACGAAAGGGAGATGACGAGATTTTACTGCCTTCAGTGTCAATGTTGTGTCTGCCATCTTTGCATTGTGACGGATCATAAAAGCCATGAAGTTATTTTGCTCGACGAAGCGGCGGACAACGAGAAGGGAAACATCATGGCGGATGCCGTAATGAGCCGAACAAGGGAAAACGATTTAAAGGCAACGATTCGACAGTTTCACCACACAGCTTCCGAGCTGCGAGACAATGCCCAACTCGCTAAACGAGGAGTCTCGCAAGCAGCAGAGCAGAAGATCGCAGAGATTCGAGAGCGCGAGCGACAAGCCATTGAATTAATCGAGACAACGTGCGTGACGAGACTCCAAAGAATCAACTCGGCTCAGGAGGCTGTTGAATCTCTGATGAAACAAAACAACAAAGTTGCCGACTTTGCCGAAAACTTGATGCAGAAAAGCTCGAGCTGGGATATCATGCAAAACAAGCACAATTTGAAACAGAGATTTGAAGAACTTCGAGGAATCCAAGCTGCACAACACCATCAGACCTCCTTCATCAAGTTTTACCCCGCTCCTGCTGTGGGCTTCAACTTGGGCAACATCGCCACCGAAGACATAGCAGATGCAAGTCGGTCCACTCTGGAGGGACTGGATCAAACTCTTCAGGCTGGTGTAGAAGCAAAGTTCATTTTATGCCCCAAAACACCTGATGGAGAAATAAGTAACCAGCCTGATCTCAAACAGCAAATTGAAGTTCTCATACAACCAGACAAAGATGTCACACAAATCACTGTGTATAACGCAGAAGACGGTAGATTCGAGGTCAAATTTATACCCAAAGTACCAGGTGCTTACAGCATTGAAGTGAAGATTAATGGAGATACACTCGCCAACTCTCCGTTCACTCTGGCGGTGAACGAGCGTGAACTTACTGTGGTCGGTGAGTTGGATCTGAATTTATCAGAAGGAGAACAGGTCGGCCGTCTAGTTGGAATCGCAGTAAATACGAAAGGGAATATTGCCGTAACTGACTTTATTAAAGACTTTGTTTACATATTCGATAAAAATGGTAAATGTCTGAGAAAAATTGGAGTTAAAGGACAAGTTAATGGCTCATTTAGCGTGACATATTTGAACGATGAAGAGATTTTGATTACAGACACAAATAAAGGCAAATTACAACAAATTAATATCCAAACGGAAACTGTTGTGAAAACTTTAGGAAAAGCTGGTGCACGAATTGGAGAGTTTCTTCGCCCAACTGATGTTTGTTTGGATGAAGAACGTCACATTGTCGTAACCGACATTGGGAATAAAAGGATACAGGTGATGTCACGTGAGGGAAAGACTATTTCCATGTTTGGAGATATCGGCTCAGAAAAATTAAAACTACCATGGAGCTGCTTGCCTTACAAAAACAAGTTTTTCGTCTCCGATTTCGGAAATCATTGCATTAAGGCTTTCGACAAGTCAGGAACATTTTTACACAAGTATGGCAAACAAGGCAATCAAGATGGACAATTTAACTATCCGAGAGGTTTGCTGATAGACAGCTCCAATAATCTTCTGGTGTGTGATGGGGAAAATAACCGAGTTCAGCAGTTTTCTCTAGACGGTCACTTCACTGGTAAAAGTATCACTCATTTACCTGAACCTCGTGGAATAGCAGCAACACCAGATGGACGTATTCTCGTGACTACCACTAAAAAAATTTTCATATTAAAGTAGCTGTTTCAATAGACACTTATTTACTTCACAGTTTGTATTCTACTTCTAATGACCCAAACTGTTTCTTTCCTAATTACAATAATTGGAGACAGAAATTTATAAGTTTATTCTTCCAATCGAAGAAGGTTTATTAAATACAACTGAACTAATTAGCTTTGAGGTTTCAAATTTTGTTTGGTTTCGTAATAATGCAGCACATGTAATTATTACAGAATTCTGATCGTTAAAGAATAATTTGCACTAAATACGTCGCAGTAATGGCATATATATATTGCTTTCTTCTACTGGAAAGGGTAATACGCGCCAGCTGCCCCCCCCCCCCCAGAAAAAAAAAACCGTCAAACGAAAAACAAAACTAAACGAAAGAACCGCTTTTTGCAGTTGCGTGACTTTTAAAAGTGCCTTTCATATTTCTGCATAATTTTGACACCAGGAATATTGAACCCGGGAACAGTGAATTGAACTTGGCTGACTCACTCATCAACTTTCTTTCATTTTAAGCAATTGATCTTATAGCGCCAAATAACAATGAAGCGTTCCTTCCAAATATTCGAAACTCAATTTCAAATGAATCTGAAATTCAACCTTCCACCATCGAAAGCCATATTACCAGAAAGAATGAGCGCCGACCTGAGAGTAATCCCTTCTCAACTGCGCGAAATTCCGCCACATCCCAGAGGAGGGGGGTGGGGATGTCCGTAATAACCCTGCAGACCATTTTTTTTGGACCGATAAATCTGAAAAAAAAGAGTTTGTTTTCCTACTTGCCGACGGCAACATCGAAAAGTTCAGGCTTACTGATAGCTCCAGTGAATAAACTATCTTAGATATCTGACATTCTCCAGACGATACCTGATCAACTTCGATTTCAACTCAGTCAAATTAGCTTCCGTTTTAATGGTCAGGGCCCAGTTGTATAAAGGGTGGATAACACTATCCAACGGATAAATCGCTATCCAGCGGATAAGTGACAGCAAAACGTACTGCGTTATCAACCGGATAGAGATTTATCCAGTAGATAGTGTTATCCGACCTTCGAACAACCGGGGCTTAGAGGTTATCGCTGACATCGATGTCTCTTTTCAACATCCTGCACAACAATTACTTGAAGGAGTATCTGCCATCGGCTTAAAACTTCCTCAGCTTATTTAGATATCGACGTGTATGGGGCACCAAAAACTGTCTCATCTCTCTACACGTTTACACGTGGGTGTTCTGGAAAACGCACAAGCCATGAACGAAAAACTTCTGAAGCTCCTTATATCTGGCGGCAATCGGTTAGCCATAAGGAAAATCCCTCAGGAGTATCGCATCGTCGTTCCCAGCCCGTTTCCCCTTCTCGTCATGTTACTGTGACAAATGGCGAGACCCTGGGAACCATGTTGGGTGCTGTAGTTAAAAGTTAAATTAAAGCGTTGCTGGTCAATCATCTGACAAACTTTCCCCACAGGAAGCTCGCCAGTAAGTCCACTGTTAACAATATTTTGCCAAAAAAAAATCCTTACCCCGTCATAACCCTGGAAACAATTTTTTGAGGTACGGCACACAGTACCAGTAGAGCCCCATCGGCCATACAATGACCACAGAATGCATCATTCTCAAATGTCTAAACATTAACCCTTTACACCCTAACATCAGTCTGCATATTCTCCTTACTGTTCTTTATACATTTCCTAAGGTGCTGAGAGGGAGAATATGTTTAATAATCAAACGCTTTCATAGTTGGTGATCATTTCTTGTATTCTCGTGTCCGTAACGTTTAAATCAGGGGTGATATTACAAGGCGAAATTAGATGTTAGTCTCTCTTAAAGGTCAAAGAATTAATGAGGAACAGATCAGTTTAACTCCACACGTCAATTTACGACTTAAAAACGTAACCGAGAATTCGAAGTCAATAATGCGTGAAAACATGCAAACAAACAAAACAAAAAGAAACCTTATCGGCCATGATCTTCTACAACAAAAGCGTGACTGCGTGATGATAGCCCAGTTTCTAAATATATTTAGCTTCAGTTCATAAGGTCACTCAACTACATCCTGTTTTTCTCGGAATTTCAAACAATAGCTTTTTCAGGCTGTGTTTACCAGCAATCTTGTTGAACGCTGACAATGGAGTCCTTCTTGAGAAATCTCACCAAACAGGTTACTTGCTCAGTTTGTCTCGAGACCTACAAAGAGCCGAAAATTATATCGTGTTTTCACACGTTCTGCTGTGATTGTTTAGAAAAACACGCAAGAGTGAGCCAAAGGCATGGAAAATTCCGATGCCCCGAGTGTCAGGCAGAAATCCACTTGCCAGAAGGAAATCGCTTCGAAGCGTTGCCAACTAGTTTCTTTCACAACAGTTTGTTGAATATACTTGCCATTCGGCAAAGTGGCGATGGAACAAACGTCACTTGTGGCAACTGTAAGAAGACCATCTCCAATGTCCATTACTGCTTTGATTGTGCCCGATTCATGTGTTCCGACTGTCTTAACGCACATGAAATTATGCGCGACGCCTTTGAGGGACACAAAGTGATGCCTGTCAAAGACTTCCAAGATCAAGATTACGACAGCCATTTTGCACCAAGAAGTACCACGAGCGAGAGATCACGAGATTTTACTGCCTCCAGTGTCAGTGTTGTGTTTGCCATCTTTGCATCGTCACGGATCATCAAAGTCACAAAATTCAATTGCTTGACGAAGTGGCTGACAACGAGAAAGGAAACATCATGGCGGATGCCGCAGAGAGCCGAACAAGGGAAAAAGATTTAAAGGAAAAGCTTCAACAATTCCAAAACACAGCAAACAGCCTGCAAGAAAATACCCGCGTCGCTAAACGAGGAGTCTCTCAAGCAGCCGAAAAGATGATCGCAGAGATTCGAGAGAGCGAGCGGAAAGCCATTGAATCAATCGAGACAACATGCTTGACGAGACTCCAAAAAATCAACTCGGCTCGGGAGGCCGTAGAATCTCTCATGAAACAAAACAACAAAGTCGCCGACTTTGCCGAAAACTTGGTACAGAAAAGCTCGAGCTGGGATATCATGCAAAACAAGCACAATTTGAAACAGAGATTTGAAGAACTTCGAGGAATCCAAGCTGCACAACACCATCAGACCTCGTTCATCAAGTTTTACCCCTCTCCTGCCGTGGGCTTCAACTTGGGCGATATCGCCACCGAAGACATAGCAGACGCAGGTTGGTCCACTCCAGAGGGACTGGAACAAACTTTTCATGCTGGTTTAGAAGCAAAGTTCATTTTATCCCCCAAAACACCTCATGGCGAAGTAAATAACCAGCCTGATCTCAACGAGCAAATTAAAGTTTTCATACAACCAGACAAAGATATCATACAAATCACACAGAAAAACACAGAAAACGGTAGATTCGAAGTGAACTTTATACCCAAAGTACCCGGAGCTTACAGCATTGAAGTGAAGATTAATGGAGATACACTCGTCAACTCTCCGTTCACTGTGGCGGTGAAGGAGCGTGAACTTACTGTGGTCGGTAAGTTGGATTTGAATTTATTAGAAGGAGAACGAGTCGACGATCTATCTGGAATCGCCGTAAATACGATAGGGAATATTGCCGTAACTGATCGTGGTAAAAACTCCGTTTACATATTCGATAAAAGTGGTAAATGTTTGAGAAAAATTGGAGTTAAAGGGCAATTTATAAACCCATTTGGCGTGACATATTTGAACGATGACGAGATTTTGATTACAGACACAAGTAACAGAAGAATACAACAAATTAATATCCAAACGGGAACTGTTGTGACAACTTTAGGAAGAGCAGTAGAAGAAGGAGGGTTTCATTTCCCTTTTGATGTTTGTTTGGATGAAGAACGTCGCATTGTTGTAACCGAGATTTGTAGTGGTAGGATACAGGTGATGTCACGTGAGGGAGAGACTATTTCCATCTTTGGAAACATCGGCCCAGAAAAATTAAAACAACCAATGAGCTGCTTGCCTTACAAAGACAAGTTTTTCATATCCGATTGCGAAGATCACTGCATTAAGGCTTTCGACAAATCAGGAACATTCTTACACAAGTTTGGCAAACGAGGCAATCAAGATGGACAATTTAACAACCCAAATGGCTTGCTTATAGACAGGCCCCATTGCCTTCTGGTGTGTGATCAGCGCAATAACCGAGTTCAGCAGTTTTCTCTGGACGGTCGCTTCACTGGAAAAAGTGTCACTCATTTACCTGGACCTCGTGGAATAGCAGCAACACCAGATGGACGTATTCTCGTGACTACCCCTAAAAATATTTTCATATTAAAGTAGCTGTTTCAATAGACACTTATTTACTTTGCAGTTTGTATTCCTCTTCTAATGACCGAACTGTTTCTTTCCTAATGTTGGAGACTGGAATTTGTAAGTTTATTCTTATTTTTCGAAGAAACTTTTTCGAATACAACTGAACTATTTAGCTTTGCGATTTTAAATTTTGTATGTTAGTGGCATTTATGCATATTCGTAATAATGTAGCAAAGGTAAATATTATAGGATTGTGATTGTCAAAGAATATTTTGCACTAAAGACGTCGCATTAAATACATTATTTTCATTCGATAACCTAGAAGTAATTACATATATATTGCTTTCTTCTACTAGAAAGGGTGACACGTGCCAGGTGCTGAAATAGACGAGTACCATGTGACATCCAGCTCTTTTTAGGCCTCGCTCCCAAAAGAAAAAAAATTACAAAAACAACCGCGTTATGCGATTGCGTGACTTTGTAAGGTTAACCATTTAACTCCAAGATCTGACTGTTAATTCTCCCCTCTAGCTGCTACACATTTCCTTGTAAATAAGTTACAAGTGTTTGGTGTTAGATCACGATAACAACTTCTATCTGATAAGTTTGAATATTCTCAAAACCTGTTTGCTGGATAATTTTTAGATATTATAGTGAGAAGTTACATGTGAATCACTTCCGGGAGTGAAAGGTTAAAGGATAACTTTTTTAAAATTCCAATTGTCTTATTACTTGAAGGTGCTTGTAAGACTGTTCTTCATCGTTCTTCCCATTGCTGTAGTGAGAGAGAGGGATTGGAGAGAGGATGTTTTTGAGACATCAAAATCTGCTTTTATTTGGCAGATGGACAATAAAATATATTCAACATATTCGAATGCGCTCTGTTTTGTAGTAAAGCAAATAGGAAGCGGCCAGAGCACGAAAGAAGTGTAGAGGCAAATGCGAGACGTAGTCGAGTATCTCTACTTCTTGAGTGCAACTGAGAGTATAATCTGATCAGTGGAATAGGACCACTGGTCTTATTCAATCAATCAGATTATTCTGTTAATTAAAAGCTTTCAAAAAATGTTCAACCATCAGCGAGGTTGATCTAATGCGAATTACAGACGATGCCAATGTTGTTACGGTACGGTGATGTTGAAGTCGAATAAACATTGCCTTGGTCAAATAAAGTACAATCCCACTAACATGGCTCTGAGGCTATGGAGAATGACAAAAAGAAATTAATTATTAATCCCTCAACCTCGATGTGCTTTCCTTTGTGTTATTCGCCCAAGCCTCGGAGCCAAGTTTGAATTTTAATATATCGAAAATGAATGGAAAGACATGAATTAATTTTCACACTGAACAGTTAGACAAATAGGAGTCACAGGCAAACTTTCTTGATGAAGGGGTGAGTTGAAAAATCTAAAATTTAAAAGCCGCCTCAGCCACGATCACCTAAAATTGTCCTTCTTTAGTGAATGTGAAACATTCTGATGACAACTCATGCGTGAAAGTGCGATCATTGTTTTGCCCCGCAAATCTTTTGAGCGTGACTAAAACGCCCACAGCTCATGAAAAATGTTGGCAATCAGTTAGTGAAACAACTGTTATCGAGCCACTGTAAAAATAACAAGACCATAAAGGCTGAGTAGCACGCTGTGTAAGGTAAAGTAAAAGGTCTCCATTCTTCTAGGAGCATCAAACTTTTCGTCTGAGTCAAAAATTACAAATTAAAAGCGATCACAGAGCAAAGCGCAGGAAAACGCAAGTGACCTGAAAACGCGAGTGGTTTTACTTTTAATTCTGATTGATTTAAGAAAGTGGCACGAATTTTCAGAACAAATCAAAAAACCAAGTAAAGCGAAGCTAAAGCAATCACAGATAACTTTCAACTGACTCCAAATAAAAAATTACCTCTTAAAACGTCTTAGAGCATGAACAGAAACACCCACGAATCATGACAAATAGGCCGTTTTATTCTAATATCAAAGGCACTTCTTCCTACGCACCTTTACCTGTTCTGCTTTTCATTCAACACCCCTCTAACAAATTTAGATGAAAATTCTTAGCGCAAACACAATCAAAAGGATATAAACTAAAGTTTAGAAGTTGACCTTAATTTTACAAAATTTTATTAATGGAAAGTAATTTTGGAAAGTCATGATGTAGTATTTAAATTGCAGTACTTTCTATTGACTTCTTAAAGGCAACGGACTCTGTTATGAGTTCGTTAGTCGCTCCTTTCAAACCCGTAATTTTGGAAAAACTTGTGAGTCTGGACCTCGACAAGTAATAAAAAAAGCAATAGCCAAATTATTTACAGTGGCGACCCAAACAGACAAGGAGAATATGTTTAACATTCAAACGCTTCCCTAAGTGGTAATCATTTCTTGTATTCTCTTGACCTTTATGTTTAAATCAAGAGTAACATTGTAAGGAGATATCAGATGCTGGTCACTCTTGGGGGTCAATGGATAAATGAGGATTAATTCAGTTTAACTCCACGCGTCAATTTACGACTTAAAAATGTAAAGAGAATTCGAAGTCAGCAATGCTTGAAAACATGCAAACAAACAAAACAACAGTTGGCTTGTTAGCTCAGTTGGTAGAGCGCTGCACCGGTGTCGCAGAGGTCATGGGTTAAAATCCCGTACAGGCCTGAATTTTTTTTTCAGGCCTTATTTTCACTACTGCCCAAGTAGTGCACATTACTGCGAGGATCACTTTCATTCACGTCTTTATCCGCAGTTCAAATATATGACTTTCATATATTCTTAATCGTATAAAAAGAAACCTTATCGGCCATGATCTTCTACAACAAAAGCGTGACTGCGTGATGATAGGCCAGTTTCTAAATATATTTAGCTTCAGTTCATATGGTCACTCAACTACATCCTGTTTTTCTCGGAATTTCAAACAATAGCTTTTTCAAGCTGTGTTTACCAGCGATCTTGTCGAACGCTGACAATGGAGTCGTTCTTGAGAAATCTTACCAGACAAATTACTTGCTCGATTTGTCTCGAGACCTTCAAAGAACCGAAAATTATATCGTGTTTTCACACGTTTTGCTGTGAGTGTTTGGAAAAACACGCAAGAGTGAGTCAAAGACATGGAAAGTTTCGATGCCCCGAGTGTCAGGCTGAAATCCACCTGCCACAAGGAAATCGCTTCGAAGCGCTGCCAACCAGTTTTTTTCACAACAGTTTGTTGAATATCCTTGCCGTTCGACAAAGTGGCGATGAAAAAAACATCACTTGTGGCAACTGTAAGAGGACAAGCTCCAATGTCCATTACTGCTTTGAATGTGCTCGATTCATGTGCTCTGAATGTCTGAACGCACATGAAATTATGCGCGATGCATTCGAGGGACACAAAGTCATGCCTGTTAAAGACTTCCAAGATCAAGATTACGAGGCTCTGTTAAAGCGACAGCCCTTTTGCACCAAGAAGTACCACGAGCGAGAGATGACGAGATTTTACTGCCTCCAGTGTCAGTGTTGTGTTTGCCATCTTTGCATCGTCACGGATCATCAAAGTCACAAAGTTCAATTGCTCGACGAAGCGGCTGACAACGAGAAAGGAAACATCATGGCGGATGCCGCAGAGAGCCGAACAAGGGAAAAAGATTTAAAGGAAACGCTTCAACAATTCCAAAACACAGCAAACAGCCTGCAAGAAAATGCCCGCATCGCTAAACGAGGAGTCTCTCGAGTAGCCGAAAAGATGATCGCAGAGATTCGAGAGCGCGAGCGGAAAGCCATTGAATCAATCGACACAACGTGCGTGACGAGACTCCAAAAAATCAATTCGACCCGACAGGCAATAGAATCTCTGATGAAACAAAACAACAAAGTTGCCGACTTTGCCGAAAACTTGATACAGAAAAGCTCGAGCTGGGACGTCATGCAAAACAAGCCAAGTTTGAAGCAGAGATTTGAGGAACTTCGAGGAATCCAAGCTGCACAACACCATCAGACCTCGTTCATCAAGTTTTACCCCACTGCTGCTGTGGGCTTCAACTTGGGCGACATCGCCACCGAAGACATAGCAGACGCTAGTCGGTCCACTCTAGAGGGACTGGATCAAACTTTTCAGGCTGGTTTAGAAGCAAAGTTCATTCTATTCCCCAAAACACCTCATGGCGAAATTAGTAACCAGCCTGATCTCAAACAACAAATTGAAGTTCTCATACAACCAGACAAAAATGTCACACAAGTCACTGTTTGCAACACAGAAAACGGTATATTCGAGGTGATATTTATACCCAAAGTACCCGGTGCTTACAGTATTGAAGTGAAGATTAATGGAGATACACTCGCCAACTCTCCGTTCACTGTGGCGGTGAAGGAGCGTAAACTTATCGTGGTCGGTGAGTTGGATCTGGATTTATTAGAAGGAGAACGCGTCGACGGTCTATTTGGAATCGCGGTAAATACGAAAGGGAACATTGCCGTAACTAACAATGTTAAAAACTGTGTTTACATATTGGATAAAAATGGTAAACTTCTGAGAAAAATTAGAGTTAAAGGGCAATATCAAGGCCCACTTGGCGTGACATATTTGAACGATGACGAGATTTTGATCGCAGACACAAATAACAACAGAATACAGCAAGTTAATATCCAGACAGGAACTGTTGTGAAAATTTTCGGAAAAGAAGGTGAAGGAACAAGAGAGTTCAATCTCCCAACTGATGTTTGTTTGGATGAAGAACGTCGCATTGTTGTGACCGAGTTTTCGAGTAGAACGATACAGGTGATGTCATGTCAAGGAGAGACCATTTCCATCTTTGGAAACATCGGCCCAGAAGAATTAGAACAACCGTGGAGGTGCCTGCCTTACAAAAACAAGTTTTTTGTCTCCGATGGCGGAAATCATTGCATTAAGGTTTTCGACAAGTCAGGAACATTCTTACACAAGTTTGGCAAACAAGGCAATCAAGATGGACAATTTAACTATCCGAGAGGTTTGCTGATAGACAGCTCCAATAATCTTCTGGTGTGTGATGAGAAAAATAACCGAGTTCAGCAGTTTTCTCTGGACGGTCGCTTCACTGGTAAAAGTATCACTCATTTACCTCATCCTCATGGAATAGCAGCAACACCAGATGGACGTATTCTCGTGACTACCCCTGAAAAAATTTTCATATTAAAGTAGCTGTTTCAATAGACACTTATTTACTTCACAGTTTGTATTCTACTTCTAATGACCCGAACTGTTTCTTTCCTAATTACAATAATTGGAGACAGAAATTTATAAGTTTGTTCTTCCAATCGAAGAAGGTTTATTAAATATAACTGAACTAATTAGCTTTGAGGTTTCAAATTTGATTTGGTTTCGTAATAATGTGGCACATGTAAATATTAAAGGATTCTGATTGTTAAAGAATATTTTGCGCTAAGTACGTTTCATTAAATACATTATTTTCTTACAATAACTTGGCAGTAATTGGATAGCTCTTGTTAAGCCTCGCTCCCCCCCCCCCCCGCCTCAAAAAAAACAAAACAAAAAAGACGCTTTTGCGGTTGCGTGACTTTTAAAGATGTCTTTCCTATTTCTGAATAATTTTGACACCAGAAATATTGAACCCGTGAACAGTGAATTGAACTTGGCTGACTCTCATCAATTTTCTTTCCGTTTCAAAGTATTAATGTTACAGTGTCAAATAACAATGAACCCTTCCTTACAAATATTTTACACTCCGTTTTTAACTAGCCTGAAATTCAACCTTCCACCATCGAAGGCCATATTGCTAGAATGAATGAGCGCTGACCTGAGAGTATCCCCTTCGCACCTGCTCGGAACTCTGCCAAATCTTGCCCCAGAGGAGGGGGGGGATGTGTGTAAAAAAACCCCTCA